AAACGGGCTTCAGTTGTGACGGTCTGGACATGAATCTAACTGCGAATGAATTGAAGTGTGAATGAGCCTCAGTAGTACGAGCGCGTCTCTGCGCATGAGCCTGGGGCCTCCTGGGGCCTCCTGAAACCTACTGAGGCTTCCTGGGGTCTCCAGGAGCCTCTTTTCCAAGGACCTCCTAGGGAGGTTTCGTGCCACAGGAGAGGCCCAATCTATAGCAACAGACATACGTAAAACATTGCGGATTAGAGCCACAGGAGAAGGGCAATAAATATATATATATATATATATATATGTATATATATACATATACATATATAGGAACGCACGTAAAACACGAAGGACTCGTGCCCCAGGAGAGGCCCAATATGTAGGAACACAAGTAAAACATCTAGGATTGTGTACACAGGAGAAGGGCCATACACAGAAACACACGTATAATATCAAGGAATCGTGCTCCAGGTGAGGCCCAATCGATAGGAGCATACTTAAAATACATGGGATTGGAGCCACTCCTGTTGCCTTCTGAGGCCTCCTGCTCCTGGGGCCTCTCGGAGCCTCCTGTTGCCTACCGAGGCCTCCTGGCGCTTCCCGTGGCCTCCTGGGGCCTCCTGTGGCTTCCTGAGGCCTTCTGGAGCTTCCTGGGGCCTCCTGGAGCCTCTTGGGACATCCTGTGGCCTCTTGAATCTTTCTGTGGACTCTTGATGCCTCCTGGGACCTCATGTGGTCTCCTAGGGCCTCCTGGAGCCTGTTGGAGCCTCCTGTGGCATCCTGACCCTCGGCGGCTCCACTTAGGGACGTGAAAATGAGCGCCTCGCTCGAGACATCCTCCAAATCTGCTCCGACAGCGAAGGATGCTGGGACAGAAAACAGGCAAACCGCTTGAGGCATCCCCACAATTTGGCCGCGAACGGGGCGTGCGTGAGTCTCAGCATGAGTAAGTCTGAGTAGGAGTAGGTCTGAGTATGAGTAATGTTGTGTGTGAGTAAGTCTGGGTATGAGTAAGTCTGAGTGTGAGTCAGTCTGTGTATGAGTAAGTCTGGGTATGAGGAGGAGAGGGGAGGAGAAGGAGGAGAAGGAGGAGAAATCGGCGGCGTCCAAGAAATTCGCCGGCCCAACGGGCCAGAGGCGTGCTAAGATCTCCGGTAACTTGTTAACAATATTTCTAGTTCGCGCGCGCGGAGCGGCCCCTGGGGGCCCCCGGACGAAGAGTACCCCGGCAAGGTCCCGAGAGAAGCCCGGGAGAAGCCACCAGACCACTCCAGGGGAGGGTATTTTTCGACACCCCTCACGAGGATCGTGGCCTCCGAGGGGGGAGCCGCAATCGACTACCCCCAAGAGCCCCCCAAGAGGCCCTGGGGGCCTCCAAAACGCCGCCAAGGAGCCCCAAGAGACTCCCAGGAGGTCCCCAAGAGGCCCCCAAGAGGCCCTAAAGAGGGCTCCAGGGCCGGCGGCATGAGCGAAGCGATTAATAACAAGAACCCCATCTTAGGATATGGGGACAAAAACAACCTTCACCCCAGCCAGGAACCCCTGGATCACCGGGTCTGGAGTGGGGGTCATTGCTGAGGGTGTGGGTGGGTTGTGCTGTCCTCATAATCGCATGTCTAGAGGGTGGGCTGGCATCCCCCATAACTCGACCGTGTCGCGGTGTCCGCCCGCTGGCATGTCGCGGCTTCCTCCATGTAGCACGTCGCGGAACCGGTGCGGCAGCTCGGGGGGGGGCTGCGATGCTCAGGCGGAAGTGGCGATGCCACCCCCTAGATCACCTCAAGCACAGCTTTCATAGCTGTAACCCCAAGTGGGGCTTCCTGGAGGCTGGACAGCGGCAACGCCACTCCCGCCAGCGGAAACTGTCCGTAACCAGTGTGGCTCAAGGCCCGTTTGCAATGAGAGCGGAGAGAACGGTCCGCGCGCGAACAGAGGCGCTTGAGCTAGATCGCCTCTTCAATCGCTTTCCTATCTCAATGAACACCCTGCTGGGACTACAGCCATCCGACGAGCAATACCACCCCACTTGAAATATCCATTACCCATCTGGCCTACGTGGGTCCTGGGGCTGCTTAGGAGGCTGTTGTGGAGGAGAGTATTCCGTTGACTCTGCCAACACCCCCAGACCCATCTATTCAATGCCTGTCCGCAGCGGTCTCCCGACGACCGCGTTGCCCCTGGAGGTTCGGGAGGGGAGGAAGGGTGAGCAACTGAACAAGGGGGTGCAAAGATAGAACGGAGGGCCTAACACGCTGACTGAGAGGTATATGGAAGTGGGTGGGGAAGAGGAGAAAAGGAAATGTATAAACTCTATACACCGACGCTCTTTCCGGCCCCGCACTGAAACTCGCACAAGAAACCGGATCCTGGTGCATACGGGATCCTGGTGTATACGTGTTTCGCTGGTTCCCCGGGAGAACAAGGAAGAAAGTGTACCTCACACCACCCCGACGTCGTCGCCGAACCTCAAAAAAGTCCTGGGATTGAAAATCAGCCCGCCACTGGTAAAGTACACTCTCCAGTTCCCGACCACGGGCCCCCGTCGTACAGCGAGCGGAAGACTTCGGTCACGGCATGGCGGTGCAGGCGCGGTTTGCGAGCACAGCGCGGGTCCCCGTCGGGGAACTCGTCCATGCCTGGCGCGCCGATGCCCATGCCAGCCTGAGGTGTCCCACCACCTCCAGCACCGAATTGATGGCCTCCACTTCCCGCGCTGTTGAGAGCATGGATGGTCTCGCCTCTGGGCTAAGCACAGCGGGTGAACTCTCACACGCCACGGCCTAGGGCATGCGCGCGGCGTTCTGGGGATACCGACAGGTACCGATACCGCTGCTCCCAGGACCTCTCCCAGGGTGCGTTCTGACGAGGAGTTCGAGGCGACTCTAGCGGTGGCGACGAGGGCCTTCCAGGGGGCGCGAAAAGGGGAGCACGAGGGAAGGGTGGTACCTCACGAGGCTCTTCCGAGGCCCCCCAGCCGCTCCAAGGGGCCGCCGGGATCACCAAGAGGCCCCCAAGACGGCTCAAGAGGACCCGAAGAAGCTCCCAATCGACATCCGAAGACACTCCGAGAGGCATCCAAGCGGCATCTGCCCTTCCTGTTCACCCTCCTCCTCATCCTCCTTCTCCTCCTCCTCCTCCCAATCCGCATTCCTCCTCCTCCTCATCCCTCCTCCCTCCTCCCGCTCACCCTCCCACTTCCCCTCCTCCTCCTCCTCCTCCTCCTCGTCCTTCTCATGTTCCTCCTCCTTCCATCCTCTCCCGCATGGGGCATGGCAGCTTCCCCAGCCCTTTGTTCCACTGCATGCTCCTCCACATGCCTGATCAGGGCAACTCGCCTGGGCATCGTTTCTGGATGGGCTGGTGGGTTCTTCTGGCGCTGGCGGCGTCGCAGGTCGGCTCGGGCTAGAATAATCAGCTCGCGTAGCTGATTTTCCCGGCGCCTCCGAGTGCCGGAGGCGGCCATGTATCGAGGAAAGGTCCCCTCGGTGGGGCCGAAACCAGCTCCATGCAGCAGATTTCGTAACCCCCCCTTTCCCAATCACCCCCTTTCGTCCGGCCTGAGCTACGAGCAGAACGAGTTGCCAAGCGCGCGCGCGCGGGCAACTGCCAAACCTGCCGCTGGGGGGAGGCTGGGCTGCGCCGAGGGTGGAGGCTGCAGGGCTGCCCGGGGGCTGCTGCCGCCGGGGGACGCTGGGCTGCGCTGAGGGCAGAGGCTGCTAGGAGGGGGCAAAGAGACATACCTCGCTTTTGACCACCCTCGCTTCCAAGAGAAGCCAGGCGATGCCAAACTACGGCCTGCACTGGGTTAGGCCGCTTGACGAGGAGGCGCGTGGTATGATTTGGTTTTGCCTGGAAGCGAAAGCGGGGTGGGTAATTCACGCTCTGAGCTACAGCCGAGGGCAGCGGGGCAGCGCCGAGGGCGGAGGCTGCAAGAGCTGCCGGGGCTGCCAGGAAGCTGTGCAGGCGTGCGGGCAGCCGGTGGCGTTGCGCGAAGCGTCTAAACTGCGGAGAGATGGTTCGGATACTGACCCTCCCTCGGTCGAGGTCTGGCCGAGGAGTCATTCGACCGAGGTGAGCCAGATTCCCGAGATGGCCGAGAAGATTCCGGGGCAGCTCTCGGAGTGTCTGTGTAGTTCCTTTTTGTTCTCGCGGGACGGTCGCGCACGGATTGGGCGGCCTGGCTCCTTGAGGGCATCCATCAAGGGGCCAAGCAAAGTGCCCGCGGAGCCCACCAGGTCTTCAAGGAGCCCGCGGCCTGGAGGCCGACGAGCAACTTCAAGCAAACTCGGGTTCCTCGCTTCTGAACCCCAGAAGCTTCTGAGGGCTGAGCGTGACACGGTGCCTTTTGGAAGGCACAGGAGCCCCCCACCCCAGGAACAGGTATCCCGGGTTGACCCCACTTCCTCCCACCAAGCCTGAAGAATGTCGCACCATTTCCAGATATGCAGTGTACATGAAGCACCACCAGCACCTTCCGGACACCATGCAAAGAGAGCGAGGATGAGAGACATAGGGAGGAGTACCGAGGAGAAGGATTACGAGGGAGGAGAAAGTGAGAAAGCAGAGAAGAAAGAAGATGGCCCACCCTTGCACCAGGAAGGGGGGTGGGAGGGGGAATGGGAGGAGGGGGGGAGGGGGGGAGAAGGTGGGAGGATGGAGGAGAAAGGAGGGAGGAGGAGGGAAAGGGAGGGAGGGAGGGGGGAGCAGTGGGAAGAGCGGAAGGGGTCGGGGATGGAGGAGCGAGGGAGGCGGGACAAGGGAGGAGGCGGCAGGGTAATGAAGGAGACGGCAATCTAAGCGATGATGACGTCGACGGCGGCGATAGAAGCGGCGACCGTAATGGCGACCACGACGGCGATTACAATGCCAGTGATTCCGACGGCGACGACGGCGGCGACGACGCCGTCGACCACAAGGGCGGCGACGACACCGCAAGACGCCGACGGCGACGACGACGGCGGCCACGACGACGGCCACAGCAAAGAGCGCGCCCCTCCACGGCCCGTCGGCGCCTGCACCAGGGAACTGGTCGCCAGCAGAGGGCGGCCTTGCCTGAGAGGAGGCGTCCAGCGGCGCGAATCGCGGCGCCTGCACGGCGTCTGGTGGAGGCGGGCACCGTCGACGGCTACCCACCGCCGCGACGGCGAGGGGAAACGACGACCAGCCCAGACCTCCAGCGCATTCAAGATTCGGACGCCTTTCGCCTGTTTGGGTATCTGGGGCTCCCGCAGGGCCCGGGACCGTCAGACAAAGAATCAGAACGAAGATGCAGTCCTGGGAAAGGGGTCGGGACTTCCAGGGACCGCCCATGGCACAAAAATCAAACATCTGATGTCTTGGACCACGGCGGCAGCCGCAACGGCGGCGATCATGACCGCAACCCGAGGCGAGGGCGACGATCACGACGGCGACAAAAACCACGTCGACCACCGCGACGGCGACTGCGGCGCAGGCGTCTGGCGTCGGCGGCGACAGCGGTGGCAGCGCGACAGAAGACCAAAGACGAGGAAGGGGAGGAGCTTGTGGCTCTGGGGCACCTGAACCCCACTGTTGAGACCGGCGGTGTACCACTCAAGGCCAGGGCCACTTTTGGACAACACAGGGGAATAGCTGGAGGAGAGCATCTTTTCATCCCGTAGCGATAACGGGCAGGAGGGCAGGGAGGAAGCACAGTGCGACGCCCCCGCGCCCAACCGTGACAGACTGTGGTGCCGCACGCCGGGGACGCGCGTTACAGCATCGAGGGGGATGAGGGGGGCAAGGGGGGGGAGAGAGGGGGTGGAGGCACAACGCGCGCCACGAGGAGGGCAAAGAACTCCTGGGGCCTCCGGGAGGCGGGCCTCCGGGACGGGCCTCTCGAGGCGGCGCCACGGACACCGGTGCAGGTGTCATTGCTCGACTTGTCTGGGTGGGCACACTCTCAATGTTCGACACATGCTTGAGAGGGCACGCGGTCCACGACGACGACGACGACGACGACGACGACGACGACGACGACGGTCACCGCAACCACCACCACGACGACGAGGATGATACTGTGGACCACCACCACCACGACGACGACCACCAACACGCCTTCTCTTCCTACTCCGCCTGGTCACGCTCAGTGTCTCTGGAATCGCCATCGCCATCACATCCTCCACCATCACAAACATAACGATCATCGCAACCAGCATCATCAGTATCATTATCTACATCAGCAGCAGCGTCAGCGCCATCGTCATCATTATCAACATGATCATATCAGCATCGTGATCGTCGTCATCGTCATCATCATCACCATCACCATCAACATCACCATCGTCACCCTCATCCTCGTCATGATTCTCATCCTGATCATAATCGTCATCGTCATCAGAATCGTCACCGTCAGCATCATAATCATAATCAGAACCAGCATCAGCAGCACCATTATATGGGGGGCACCTGGAATCGGGGATGCGTCGCCGATAGATCGGCGATGGACCCCCCATGGTGAATCCGCACCCTCCTGGGCGGCTCGAAGCTATCAGACCCCTCTCGGCGATCAGTGGGCGATCGGGGGTCGATGCATCCCCCCCTTAGAGCAGCTACCTCCAAAGCCTGGCGCCCAGCGGCATCGGCACCTTCCCTTCGAGGCGCTGGCGCCACCGCCGGCGACGACGACGACGGGCGGCAGTGGCGAGGGCGAGCGACGCCTCCTCCGGCGCAAACGCATCCGCCGGGGGAGCCCGCGGGGCGCCCTGGCCAGGCGGGTCGTGCCGCTGCCTCCGGCAGGGGAAGCCGCGACGGCGGCGGCGGCGGCGACGGCGACGGCGGCGACGGCGAGGGCCGCAGACCTCCGGCGTTGAAGGGGCCCACGGGTCCTCCTTCTCCTCGTCCTCCTCCTCGTCCCTCCTCGTCCCCCTCCTCCTCCTCCTCCTCCTCCTCCTCCTCCTCCTCCTCCTCCTCCCTTTCCTCCTCCTCCTCCTTTTCCTCCTCCCCCTCTTTTGCGTGAGACCGACCTGAGCGTGAACGTTGTGGCGTTTGTACGACGTGTGAAAAAATACAGACATGAAGGTGGACGACTCGGCGCAAACAGGCCCCGCGGGCGCCGCAGAAAACGAACGAGGTAGAGAAGCGGAGAAGACGATAAAAAACAGTAGGCGCCCGCCAAGTCCTCGAGGTCGGCACTGCCGTTAATGAGATGTACCCGCAGTAAGTAAGAACCTGAGTGATATCCCCTGACTAGTCAATGGTGGTGCCGCCTCGGATGGCAAGGATAAAATAGGATTCAGGACGTGTGGCAGTGTGAGCGATTGTCCCTCTGCGGCAGGCGAAGTGCATGCGATCTTCCCTCGTCCATCGCTCCATCCATCCCGTAAACCTCCACCAACCCACCATCCCAATTAAGCAATTTGAGTAGACAGGTCATATGTTGTAAGGCTGGTTCAGGCAATGCTGGCTGGCCTTTGTGGCTTGAAGCCATGCATGACAAGGGGTAACTACCGAAGAAGTGGCGCTGCTCCGCCAAAGTGCAGACGAGCGGCAAATAAACAGAGCATTGCACATCCCAACACTCTCGAAGAGTACTACTGTGACTGCGCGTAGCATGGAGAGAAGTGTGGAGGCGACTATGAACGGAAAAGTGAGGGCTGACTCACGCGAGCTGCCGAGTGCAGCATCAAAATCAAAAAAACAGTATAGTTTGGCAGTTCTAGGGTTGCAACCCACGGTTTTTTGGGTTGACCCCGTACCACCTCGGCACTCGGATCCCCGTGCTTGCTGTAAGAACCTTCGTTGCCCAGCCTGTCGATGCGTAAGGTAGTGCGTCGCAAGGCTGGCTTTTTGTTAGGCCGGCCTATGGAACATAAAACGCGTGCTCTATCTGTGGTCAAGGGTTTTCTGGCTGACCCTAAACTTCTGCACTAGGCAGGGCAGTAGGGCCTCTGAACGAACACGGGGCCTTAAAGTGGACACCGTTAAGAAAGGAGTGGGGCTGCGGCGGTGTACATGCACGGCGCCTGGATCTCCGTGTAGAAGCAACTTGTAGCAGAATGGCACAAACAATAACAGGGGAAGAAGCCGAGGTAAGTACATGATGTTTCTGTCAAGTGCGTTCTGTGCTGCCAACGCTCTTACAAGGGCAGATTGCTCACGTCGACGACTAGGACAAGCAAATGTGAGTCTGTGCAGGCTGAATGGCCTGGGCGTGCATGAAAAAAAAAGTGGTGGGTCACGTTGAAGAAATGGCGTCTGTAGACTACCAAAAATATGCTCAACGCTACTGTGTGATGCTAGACCCGCGCCGTGGGCGGCTGTGAAAGGAGCATAACGCCTTCGGCATTCTGCAAAGTCTCTGCTATTAGGGCACCCTGCGACACCCGTCCTTGTTGGGAGAAGCGCAAGATAGCGACCGCATGCTTATGGAGACAGGGCTTTGCAGGATCACCCGGAACCTCGGTTGGAGAGAGGTGCCACAAGCACGTCGAAACACTGAAAGAAAGACTGGGGGTGAATAGCGCAACAGTAAAGGGGAGGAAAGGAGAAACTTCTGGCATGAGACGCGCGGCGTCTGGAACAACTTGCAGAAGCAGCTCGCTTCAAAATGGAACGCCTGGAAGCGGGGGGCAGCGCAAGCTGCCCCTGTCGAGATGTAGATCGGCGACCAAGCAAAAAGAACTATGGAGGCCGACGTGTTTGAGAAGTGGCGTCGTAAAAGAGGAGGCGCGTCCCTGCGGGTACCCAAGTGCCCTCGGGTCATGGCAGTGAAAGGGGGTTGGCACATTAGGTGCCCCTCAGATTGCCGGCAATGCAATGTCCCAACCACATCCCCCGCAATGCACCTCCCGGCCCGCAAGCCCCTTCCCGCGGTAAGAGCGAGGGCGGGGGCGCACTGCGAAGTTGCGGCCGGGCAAAGACAGCCGCGGGATCAGCCCCTGCGTGGGCCCAAGCGCGCACTGTGAGTGCTGCAGTCGGGCTTTTAAAAGTCCACCCTCCTCCTCCTCCTCCTCCTCCTCCTCCTCCTCCTCCTCCTCCTCCTCCTAACCCCGAATTAAAAAAATCACGCAACCTTTGGGCTGGGACCCAGAGCTTCGCAGGAGAACCCCGAACCCACGTGGAGGAGAGTCGCCGCCAACGCACCGGTGCCACGCGCAAAAGGAGGGCGCGACACAGGCCAGAGGTGCGCGGGGGAGAGCCGCCGGCATGTCCGGGCTGCGCCA